GAAAACGTTGCATAAAATTTCATTTAGTATTATAGAATTAACCAAACTCAACAATTGTAAATTTGTAGTACGTGTAAAAATTACAATATTTTTTTATATCATTAATTGAAACATTGATTCACCTTTATATAATAAAATATTTTCTGATCGTAAATATTTTTGAACTTCAACAGTATTTTTTGGAATATTTTTTTGTATGTTTCTATAAAGGTACATTCTATTACTAATTAATTTAACGTCCTTGTAATCTGACGTGTCAAAACTACTATTTATTTGTAATTTCAGAACGTATAATTTTAATTAAACGATCAGTCATGTTTTTGGCTCTTTTTTTTACTCGCACTTCGGAATAAGTTGATGGTTTAATTTTTTTTGCATTCATATCATGGTTATAAATTAAATTGCTAATCACAGTTGAATTTCCATTTTTAATTAGTCTTGTTAAACCGGATTTCATTGTACAACGCTACGTTACATTACAGGATTTACTTTCGTAGACTTTTTAAATTTATAACTATCGACAATAAGTAAACCTTTAGAATTTTTACATACACTTTGTACAGCTATAGTTTTCGGTTATTTTTTAAAAGAATTTTATTAAAACATAAGCACGTAATCAAATATGATAACTGACTAACTATAACGTTCAGTATAATGACTAGTGGTAAAATACCTTTTCCAAGTAATACAAATTATTTACAAGATACAAAGTAAGGTATGAATATATTATTATAACAGATAAAGGAATTTTTGGAAAAGCCTTTTTTGATACTTCTGTATGAGCTCTATCTACGGCTTCAACCTTTTTATGACGAATTTTTGTTTTGTAAGAAACTTTGAACCGCTTATATAATAAAAATAAATTCTGTATAATTATTTAATAATTTAATGCAGTTATACAGAATAACAAAAATAAAATAAGTTTTATATGTATATATATATATATATATATATACAGAGGTGGAACTAGGAATTATACGCCCGGGGAAAATTTTAAAATTATGCCCTATCATAGATCAATAATCATATACTCTTCTCGAGAATTTTTTTCTATTAATTAATATACAATCGTACTTATTGATTTAAACCCTAATATCAGTATTTAACAAAGTTAAAAATATCAAATTAGTTATTAATAATTAGAAAAATTACACCCTCTAAGATTTTACACCCGGGGAGAAATCCCCGTCTTCCACCTTCTAGTTCCGCCTTTGTATATGTGTATGTATATATAATTTAAATGTAAGGTAAGATTAATACATGATTTAAATAAGATACTTGGTATTGTTTTGCTTTTATTAATTGTTTTATGTTTGGTTTTGTTCAGTATGAAGTAATACTGTACTCTAATTTTTGATTTGAAAATTTTCCCTTAAGAAAAATAACTCACAAGTATAAGTGTACCTAAGTACTTAAAAAAGTGGATCGCATTACATTTTTGAGATTATGATTCATAAATTATTATTTAAATAATAAATATATAGCTAATATCTATATAAATATAGATAATTGTCATTGGCTACGTGGTTTAACAGAAAAACAGAAAAAACTCAAAATTGTAATGTAATTTAATTTAAAGTATTCCTGTTAGGCCGTGTTCTCACCAAAAGCAACTGATGACGGCAACGCAACCGCGATGCAACGCGACATGTATTATTAAATTGACGTGTTCTCACAGATCGCAACAGGACTGGAAAACAAATCAACTGTTTGAAAACTATTTTTGAGCAACTCGACGTGTCAGTCTCTTTGTCTAGTTGCTAGTGTGAATAGTTCGATTTAGTCATCGATTTTGTGAATATTTTCAATTATTTGATTATTACCTACTCTGGTTTATAATCAATTTATTCAATTTCATGAACAAGAAGAAAATATGGCATTCATACAACTTATAGAAAGTCCCCCACGTCTTTATGATATAACATCATCTAATTGCACTCGACAAGACATAAAAGAATAAGCATGGAATGACATTTCAAAGAAAACGAAAAATTCTAGTTAGTAAAATGTTGTCAAAAAATCAAAAACGTTTGATTAATTGATTGATACCTCAAATACATAAATGCTACAACCATATCCACATCGGATGAAGACACTTTTATAACTGAATATGCATTGAAGTTGCATTGAAGTTTCATATTAATATTTTAGATGAGAACAACTGGGCAACTCAACTATAACTAGAATCGAATCTCAATCGCGTTGCCGTCATCAGTTGCTTTTGGTGAGAACACGGCCTTAGTGTTATATGCAACCTTTATTTATACTACTTTAGTTATAACAAATAAGGTTAAATTAATTGTAACAACACTTTTTAATGTAAATTTATGTAATATTTCTGTAGCCAATGGTCCCAATTGCCGAAGCATTTGATATCAATAAAAAAAAAAAAACTAAACTTTAACATTGTTTTATAATAGGCACGTTTCATTTATTGTAAAATGGTTTGTAAATGTATAACTTCCAAGTGAATACTATCTGAAACCCATTAAATTAACCCATTCAATTTATTGTGATTAAACTGATATAGCAAAAGGCATTGAAAAACGAAAATAAAGTAAAACTATCTGGTAAACCCTGAATAATATGTATACTTATCTAATCTTTATTACATGGCTATGGGCTCATGATAGGTAGGTATTTAATTTCAATTTTAATTCCGATATTTCCCAGTAACGATGAACTAATATTGAAGGATATTGTCGAACAAATTGTTACATTGCATATAATGCCATTTACACGTGTACACGTAAACTATAAGTTTTACATTTTAGCAAGAAAAAATCATTTTTTTTTTAAACATTTTTTGAAAAGATTAAATTCTTAAACTAATATTTACTTCACAATTATAAGTAAGTAGATATTTTATTCATTTTTCACATTTGATAAATAAATGTTTATTGATGTTGTATTTAAATTATTTTTGATACATTTCATTCGTGTTATTATTAATTTGTTGATCATTTGATTTATCATAATTAATATTAAGCATGGATTTAAGTTTACAATATTGAATATCTTGGTATGCTGTAATGATCAAATAGTTCCATTTACACAGGAAAATGTAATAAAATAAAATTGTTTGAACTAATGATGTAATATATTAATATTAACTTTGGAAATAAACAATAAATATTAAAACTTGAATTAGTTAGATATTTTTAAATATTTAATTAGATCAGAAAATGTGTTGTCTTTCCAGCTTACCACAGTGTGGGTAATACTTATCTATATAACACAGCTTTATTTAATTTTAATGATCGTTGTACATAACAAAATAATAATTTAAGAAATTTGTGTATATAAATTTAACCCTTCATTAGTCACAATGGGGTATTTTATAATCCCAGACATATTAAAAATGTTAGTTTGTTTTGAGGTAAAAACATAGGTACCCTAAAGGCTGAGATATTATTAGGGATCAGAGTATTAATATAATGTTGTCATTTTTATCATTATCAAAATAGTATCAAACTATAAACAGTCATTCTAAGTGAAGTCTGGAAATATTTTACCATAGGTGACTATTTTTGTTTTAGAACACATTTGTATTGATTATAAAATTGTGTACGAAAATGAAATTATTATTGAATAACCATTAGACTAATTAAAATATTATATAATAAATGTATATTAGTAATTTTAAATTACTGAATTAAGTTTTTTAAATTTAAATTTTTAATTTATTTATTAATTTGAATAAAAGAGGTTTTTATGATTTTTGTTTTGTTTTTGTAATTTTATGATTTAACTATATTTGTTTAAATACTTATATTTACATTTTATTTATTCTCAAACACTGTTATGCTTAATATGTTATTTATTTTAATCTTATTATAATATTATGATGAAAAGATAATTATGTTGTTATTTATTATAAAATTTTCACCCCTTTTTCACTTACGATATTAGGGTTCATATTCAACATAAATTAATAAATAACCATCAAAATATGTTGTACGAGTTAATAAAAATAAAAATGTATAGATTACTATATTTATAGTATTAAAAATAAATTGAAAAAGAGATAAGCAAAGGTTTATATTTAAATTAATATAGAATAAATGTTCATAAAATACCTGTAACATTTAATAAAATGCATTTAACTATTTAAGTATTAATTATACATACATCCAAGACACATATTTAGCAAAAAATTAATATAATGTATGAATTTATAAATTTAAGAAATTAATTTAGCACATGCGATATTGTATTACCTATGATGACTTAAATATTTCATATCAATAAGGTGGCTAACAAAGAGTTAAGGAATATTATTTATTTAGTGTATCGCATATTAATGAATATTAGGAGCTTTAATAAACAATTCAGTGGTAATTAATTTTACAAATATTTTGCATTCCAGTGTAACAGTGCCAGCTTCATTCACGTTCATAAGATTATTTAATGAAACTGAGTGACTATTCGTACGAAATAATTTGTTGGTCAATTTTCTACTCAAGCCTGACTGACATTCACAATCTAATTTAATTTAATTTTAATTTTATTCATTTAATTTTTTTATTTTATTTTTTATTTATTTTAATTTTTTTTTTAATTTTTTTTAATTTTTTTTAATTTTTTTTTGTTTTTATCAGCAACATACGACATGAGTAGGTAACTTAAATTAACTTCCTTTATGAATCGGTTGAATTGCTTTCATAACTTTATTTCTGTCACATGTAACTTCATTACATCATTGGATCTTAAGAATGGTTAAATAAATAAATGGTCAGAAACAAATATTGCAATTGTCACAGTAAAAGTTTTATTCAGTTCAACTTCAATAGAAGGTGTTTTCTAAGTTATTGTCTAACAGTGGGTAAACATCTAAAATTATTTACATACCTAAAAATCACCAACTGGATTTAAATAACCATTTGGAATTTCAATACAACTGAACATAAAATACTCTGCTATTTCCATACCCACTCAAAAATAAAGTAGCAAGACATTTATTGATATGTATGTCCTTTTTGTTACACTATATAGAAAAAGTAGTAACATAATTTTCAGACTTGTATTGATGAGAATCTCTAAAATAACTGAAATATTCGCCTAAAGAAATATTTCGTTCCTTCAAGCGATTGTGTACATTTTAATACAATCTATAAGTAATCTCTTGTACAGGGACCTCTGCTCCTCATTAATGACAATATCAACCAAACGCCTAGAACATTCACCAGTTTAAATTTGGTTTATTTTCCTCGCCTCAGACATATTCAACATTATCGGGATGTTTGTACAACAGCTGTGTTTGATATCAAAACACTATTGCAAGACAAATTTCAAACAAAATTTGTTTTTACACACTTGTATGGTAATATTAGGTCAAACGCACATGGTGCAACCGTTTTGGAACAAAAGTTGCAAATCAGTTTGCAACCAGTTGGTGTTAATTTATTCAATCAGTATAGTTACTATTTTCGATTTTATACTACGTCGAGTTCAGATGAAGATGACATCATTAATTATTATCAATACCTCAGGCTACGCAGAGTACAGCGGAAACATTAGATCCATCTATACATAACGAGAAAATGCGAACTCTACTGTTTACAGCAGCAAAAGTATTATGTTATTCATACTTTTCTACTTCTCCAACGAACTCTAAGTTTAGTTCTTGGTCACTCATGTTCATAAAAATACTAAAACAATACATGTGCACGAATACGAAAGTTGGGTGCAACTTAAAATTGCATCGCAACCGTGGAAACCGAATGAGTACAACCGATTTGAAACTGGTTGCAAACTATCCTAATTTTGTTCACTTCGTTTGCGGACGCCCCAGTTTTACGTTGCCTAGGTCACAAAACAGTTTTTCGGCCTTAAGAAAATCGAAAAATTGTTACGCCAAAATCGTAACATCTGATTACTATGATAAAAATTGAATTGTACACTGAAAACTCGGTCATCGAGATAACATTGATAATTGATAACGAAGTAGCCGGTGCACATGTTTGGAGAGAAATATTTTTATCAATTTGATATCATTACCTTTAAATAAGTTTCAATTTTTGAATGTTCGTCTGATCACGAATTGTCAACTATTTCTGGTCTTGGAAGTATTCAGCTACACACAGTCAACTGGGTAATGTATTATATTTTACTTAATTGGATATTAATTAGAAAACGCGTTCATCTCTAGTAGTTTAACTTTGTCCAAATATTACTGTAGCCAGGGCTGGTGAAAATTTTGAGCGCCTTGGAGCTGATCAGTTCCAGGCCCCCTTAACTTGCACTTATTTAGCCAAGATTTACATATTACTTGTACATACTTAGGTACAATAAAAATATTGTATAAAAAGCTAACCTAACGACGAGCATGGGAGCTTTATCCCTCCCTGCCTCACCCTCTTACCTGCTCTGACTAGCCCAATAAGTATTGATTATATAAGTCAGTATTAATTTTATAAGATATAATTCTAAAAATATGTATTATTATATGTGTTACATTTGAAATAGCTTTCATTTTGTTGAGATTTAATTTTCAGTTTTTTTACTAATTATTATCACTGTAATGATAACTCATTGCTTAATTTGAACTTAAAAGCAACTTTACAAGCCCACATTTTATTTATTAAAACCCAATAAATATAAGGTTCATCTCTGCATCAATTATTCTGTGTAAATTATTTCTTTTATATGTACTATCATTTTTGTAAAGTACAATATTTATATTTATAATATTATTATATTTATTTAAAAAATATTTTTCAATGTATTCAAAGTTTATTGTATATTTATTCATCAAGATATCAATCATCTTAGTTGTGAATTTACCATGTTGATTACCAATCAGTAATTTCTCTAATTAACATCATATTTTCATATTATTTGTATATTGATTGTAAATAAATATTTTACATGCACTTTTTAAACAAATATGCAATAATTTTGTTATAGTACAATGTTGAAGTCTTTATTATTGATTAGAGGAATACATATACCTAGCACAAATTGGTCATCTAACAAATCTCAACTGTTAAAATTACGAAAAAAGACAGGATATACATTTGAAAGTTGTAAAAAGGCTTTACAATTAAATGATAATAGTTTGGAAAAGGTAAATATAATTAGCCAATACAGTGAAAGATTTACCTACTTTTCTATTATTCTAGTATATGGAAATTTTATATATTTTTAACAGTCTGAGGAATGGTTGAAAGAAGAAGCTCAAAGATTAGGATGGGCTAAAGCCAACAAACTTGCCAACCGTGCTACTGCTCAAGGACTTATTGCATTTGCCATTGATAATCGGAAAGAAATTGCCACCATGGTGGAAGTGAATTGTGAAACTGATTTTGTTGCTCGAAACAAAAGTTTTCATTCCATTGTAGATGTAGTTACTTCATCTTGTTTAGATTTTGCTAAAAAACAAAAGGCATTGGAAAATTCATTTTCTAAGGTATATGATTAATTTAAGTATTATAACGTATTATTAAAAATGTATATGATTTTAGGTTAATTTAAAAAGTGGTGAGTTAATGGCATTAAGTGGTGCTGAAGGTAAATCGTTGGCAGATCATGTTGCAGTTACAATAGGTAATCTTGGAGAAAATGTTACTCTCAGACGTGCTACATGTTTAAACACCCAAGATACGGGATTGAAAATTATGGGCCTTACTCATCCGTCTAATCTAACTGGATCTCATTTTCTTTGTGGTAAATATGGATCACTTTTAATTTACCGTAAACAACTGGATACTGATAAAATTAATCAAAAATCTATGGAACACTCTCATGAAGAAATACTTCGACAAATGTGTCAACATGTTATCGGTAAATACATTTGAAATTAAATTAATTTTTGTTTTAAATTATATTTCAATAATATTAACTTCTTTGCACTTGAAAATTATATTAATTAAGTTGTAATAAATTGTGTTAAAAATAACTTATTCAATTTATAAATGGTATTAAAAAAAATTGCTTTATGGTTAATACTCTTAAAATTATTGAATATCATTAAATATTCCAAATTATATCAATAAAAATAAAATATAAGATGTAAAAAAAATGGATTAAATATTTTTGTCTTGAGTATTATTGATGATACAAATGTTTACTTCTGGTTTTGATTTCAAAAACCATTGTCAGTTATAAAAAATATGTTGTACATCATTATTATAATTTTTAGTTGTAATTTGGATTTATTGAGTTATAAAGAAATACATACAATAATCAAGTATAATTGTCAATTATTAGATTAATATTTAGTTCTTTTGTAGTTTATATATATATTAAAATGTGGTTACTCACTTCTTATGGGTAAATTTTGTAGAGTTTTAAATAAAATATAAATTGTATAAGTTAAAATAATTTAAAAATACTTTTTAATTTATTGAAATTTAAAAATATTTTTTTTTAATTTAGGTATGAATCCAAAAAGTGTCGGAGTTCTTAAAACAGATGATTCAGTAATATTTAAAGATGTGGCGACTAATAAAAATGTTAATGAAAATGAAGACTCATCATTGGATAATATAGATGAAAATAAATCAAACTCTGAAATTGAAGAAGATGGTATGTTGGAACAGGATTTCTTATTAGATCCCTCTATGACTGTTGGACAAGTAGCTACTGATTATGGTATTGATGTATTAGATTTTGTACGTTACGAATGTGGTGAAACTTAAATTTGCATTTATATAATTACTGTAAATTTTAAAATTAATTTTTAATTATTATGTTAAACTGCTTTTAACTAGTATAAACTAGAATTTACAAAATAATATATTCTTCTTTTATAATAGTATTTTAAATTGATTATTAATTATTATGTATATATTAAAAGAATAATGATTATACTATTATCAATTATGTTGTATAATCTTAAATACTTTTTTTCTTTAATTTGAAATAAGTTGAGGTTTTCTGATTTATTAGATATTTTAGTACAAATATTTATTATAAAAATTTATGTTACTCTTATTTATTTATTTTAACCCATCATTAGTCGTGCTATGGTCAAAATGACCGCATTTTTTTTACACCTTTAATTTTACGTCCTTTAATAGAGCATTTACATTTATACTTCAATTGTTGATACTCATATTATATGAGTTAATAATATACAATCAATAACATTTTTCAAAGGTATACTGAAAGTTGAGGATTAAAATTTAAAATGTTTTATTTAAGACCTAAAATAAAGTGCAGTTATTTTGACCATAGCGAGACTAAAGCTGGGATAACATCAATAATTACTTCATTTCATTTGTTTTATATTAAATTTGTACTGTTAGAACTTTTTATTCATTTATTTACTCTGAAATTCTAAAATGTGTCTTTAACTTCCAATTTGTCAACTATAGAAGCTTCTATTAGTGGGCAGGCTTTAGTCTTTTAATAAACATTTTATTTAAAATTCTATATAATAATATAGGATTTATTATTTCCTTATTATTTACATTTCTTATAAAATTATAATGCTGATGGAAGCTTGGTTGTGAGACGGGATGGTCTTAAAGGCCCAATAAACCCCACAAAAAAAAAAAAAAAATTATAAGAAAAACATTATTAGTTCTTATAGTGAGGAGTAATAATAGTAATGTTTAAGGTTAGACACATTATTTTATAAATATAAAGAAAAATATATTATTTGCTCAATTTATACATATTAGGTATTGTTGCGTGCCGTCAGTTCAATCGTAAAGATGGTGATGATTTTGGAAATATTCCAAATAAAATACTCAACTAAGTTAAACTGTTTATTTGAAATTTCTCTAAGTACAAATAATTAATTTAACAAATGATCTAGCGTGGAGGTGCTCGCTAATACACGTATAAACCACATCTGAATATTGGTTTATTCCCAACTCCCTTATATACTTAGGTCTCGTGGGAATTGGCCTCGGTAATATTACTATTCGCATATCTCTCATATGCGCTTTTATTAATTGCATTTATTATAATACTTTAAAATGTAGCCTGACAGCTCATGTTCTAAATACCCTCGGGTCTTAATTATTCCTTTCTACATTGTTCACCGATTTCAACTATTTATTGGTAGTTGTAAGGACCTACATTTATGTATGTCCGTAACATCGTGTTACCCTCTAATTAAATTAATAGTTCCTTTCTATCAATCAATCATTTCCCGATATCTATTATTACGATTTATGTGGTCCCTCTTATGTAGTAAAAGTCATAGGACCTACATCTATGTATGTCCGTAACAGTATGGCATTCATATTAATGAAGTATTTTGGAATATAATTTGATCATAACCAGACAAGAGTGGATCTAGGTATGAAATAAAGGGGGTCTTGAAATTTTTTTACATTTCAAATATATATAAGAAAGTGTTAAAATTTAGATAATAAAAAATTCTTATTCTAATTGAACATTAAAATTTAAATATATTACTAATAAATAAAGTAATTAAATAAGTTAAATAATATATTAATCTGACCAATCATCCAACTTCATCCTTCTAGATGTTCTTGAAAATATGTCTATAAGCTCTCTGATATTCACAGGAATTTCTTTATGAATATTTAAAACTGCTAAGCTGTTTAAGCGCTCTTGACCCATTGTTGATCTCATAATTTTTCAAGCGCCTTAGGCCCGGTGCACACTTGCGTTATTTTAACGCGCGGCAACGCTGCGGCATGGAAAACCCAAAATTTAATTGCGTAATGCACACATCACAGCGGCAACGCTGTGGTGACGCGCGTCCGTCTGCGACAAAGTTTTTGTCGCAAGTTGTTATCGCACCTTCACTTGCGGTCGCTCAATTCATTGTATCATATTGGTCAATGCACACTATCGTCATTTTGACGCAAACACGTTTATTTTATACATGTTTTAATACATAAATCGTGCAAATGGCAGTAAATCAAGAGGATGTGGACATTGAGTTATTCATTGGTGAGGTAAAAAACTATCCTGAGATATGGAATGTCGCTATCGATACTTACCATGACAAAAAGAAAAAACGAGGTGCATGGATAAATATTTGCCGAGTGTTTTATGACGGATTTGACGAGAAGGACGATAGAGACAAAAATGAAATTTGTAAGTTATTTTGAAATTTATTTTCAGTTTATATTTGTATGATATATTATATTATTTTTGCTTGACACTATTTTTAAGTAAATTTATATAAAAATGAAAAAAAATATTTCAACCTAGATATTTTTTGATTTTTATTTAGATTAAAATAAGACAGGTTAATAGTTTTAAAAAAAATATTAATAATAATTAAACATAATAATAACGTAATATTACTTAAATATAATTTGTTTGTCATGGAACGCTACCCACATCAGACACAAAATAATCTGCCAACTTGTTTCTTATTTGAATTGATTGGTTGGGTGGTCTTGAGAGATCTTGTTGGATTTCAATGAGTCCTTCTATAGTCATTACATCTTCGACGTTAAATCCATCTCTAGTCCTTATAAAACTATGGAGGGCACAGCAAGTCTTCACCACAAGTATAGATAAATCCAAATTTCCATTGATAGGTTTGTTAAAAATTTTCCATTTATTTGAAAGTATTCCAAAAGCACATTCAACGTTTCTCCGCGCTCAGGATAATCTATAGTTGAATATTCGTTTTGTGTCTGATAAAACTTAACCACTGTAAGGTCTCATTATATCTGGTGATAGAGAAAATGCCTCATCGCCAATAAATGTGTATGGCATATTTGGACCAATTGTACCTGGAAGAGGCTGACTCTTAGGAATGTTTAATTCATTATTCTTAAGTTTTTTATAGAAAGGAGTTCTTTCAAAAATAGTACTATCTGACTCCCCAAAAGAACCAACATCAATATATATAAATTTATAATTCGCATCAACAATTGCTAGTAGCACAATTTGAAAAAAAATTCTTATAATTATGAAACAGAGAACCACTCATTTTTGGTTTTCTGATCCGCACATGTTTCCCATCTATCGCCCAGAGACAATTAGGGTATTGACTGTATTTTTGAAAATCTTTAGATATTTTTTTCTATCGGTTCGTTGTCAACTCGGGAAAGCACTCTTCATGTAAGACTTCCCAAATAGCATTACAGACTTTCCTCAATATCTTCCCAATTGTTGTATGACCAATCCTGTATGTCAGATGTAGATCAATCTGATCACATCCACTATCCAAATACTTATAATCATACAAAAGTTATGTATGTAATATATTAGGTAGACGGAAAAAAAACCAAAGAAAAAAAAAGAAAAAAAAACCATGAAATAATAAAGATTGATAATTTGTTCAGTTAAATTAAGTAAAATTAATAGAAATTACCAATAAAAATTTGAACAGTCAAATAAAGAAAAAATAATAGTAAAAAAAATTGTTATCGATATCTTATTGTATAAGAGATGGCAGTTAAAAAGTTTTCAACTGCTTTGCGCGGGATAACTTTTCTCGCACCATATTTGTTGTAGAAATACATACATATATTATTTTTTTTTAATTATTCAAAATGCATAAATTAGGTTACGATAGGCAGTGACGTATATAGAAATAATTTATAACTTATAACTTATAATAGTACCTAATAAAATATATACCCCCAATATACGCCACTGACAATAGTATTCCATTGATAGAACACCTGGGCAGTTGGATTATTGATCAAAATTTTTAATTAGAAAATTAAAACTTATGTCTAATGAAATATGACATAATATACCTAGTAAAATATAAATATTTGGTTTTTATTTTCATGGTTTTTTTCTTTTGGTTTTTATTTTTTGGTTTTTTTTCCGTGATTCAATATATTATACCGGAATTTTTTACTTCAGACTTTTTTTACTGTAATTCAAAAAATATACAAAATATAAGTAATAATAATAATAATAATAAATAACAAATAATAATTTATTGAATGTAGGCACGAGTAATCCATTACAGTTGTAACTTATTTATATTTTTATTTTAATATTTATGCATTCTCTCAATTTTAGGCAATAAATTTATACAAAAGTGGAAGAATATCAAGGACACCTACACAAAAAGTGAAAAAAAAAAATTAATATCTGGACAGGCTGCTGAAATAGGTAAACGGTATGTTTATGCTCGACAGTTATCGTTTTTGCAAACTGCTGGTGCTACAACACAAACGCAGTGCAGTTTAGGTGGTGAACAAGAAGAATTGAGTGAGTCTGAACAAACAACATCACGACAAAAAGAGTCTGAAACTCCTCCTACCTATACCCAAAACTCAACCAAAAAACGTAAACATGACTTCGAGACTTCTCTAATTGATTTTATGAATGCACCAATTCCTTCTCAGATTGTACCAGCCGTTTCAGAAATTAATCCAGACAGATCATTTTTTGAAAGTATCCTAACATCTATCACTAATTTCACTGAAGACCAAAAGCTTCAATTTCGTTGTGAAGTTTTGAAAATCATACAGCAGATGAGGAATTCACCAGCTACACAGAATTATGAATATTCTTCTAACGTTCCATACTATACACCTACACATGTATCCGGTCCTTTGTATCTTCGCCTCACCATTCCAATTACTTAAATCGTCGTCAATTTCCCATACATTCTCAAACACGTCTAACTACTTCATTGCCTCAACCACAAAGTCCGACTATGCATTTTAACACAATATCTCCATCAGCCTCGTCTTCCACAACTATGGACAATCAGGCATATAGCGAAGAAGACAGTATTGACATTTTTTAGGGATGGACCTTAATTAATTAGTTAATTTGGGCTTGATAATCATGTTTAGTGTTAATTTTAAAATTGTATTCAAATTTATTAGTTTATTACTATTTTTTTCTGTATCTTGTTGTATTAATTGTCTATTAATATATTATCCGTCTTAAAATAAAAATTAAAAACAGAATTTTCAAAATGTACTTAGTACTTACCTCAGAGTAACAGCTAACATTTCCAGTGGAGGTATAGACAATCTCAAATGTGTATCTGTTGACTTAATCTTCATCGAAATTTTAACGGCAAGCTCGTCAAAAGTTTTTATACTCATTCGAAAGTAATTAAAAAATTTATCCGGCCTTTCTCGTAAGTTTTCAAAATACGTATAAAATAAACCTTTCGTAAGTCTTAAATTAGTAAATGGGTGTACCCAATAACGCCTTTTATTTTTTAAAACATATTTTTTGTACACAAGGTACGCAAAAATAATACGTTTTCTTTTATAAATTTCCATCGCTTGTGTCAAATCCATACTGACAATATATGTAAATAATAATATACGTAAGTGAAAACTGCAAAACTGCACAAAAGAAAAGTGTTATGTTTGCGTTCCAACGTCGTACTGACCGTACGTATGTATGACGTTATGTATATAGGTATACATAACGTTATGTATATGTATATAAATATGTATATTTGCCGCTAGGTGTGCATTGAATACGGCGTCATCGCCGCGGTGCCGCAGTGTTGCCGCGCGTTAAAATAACGCAAGTGTGCACCAGGCCTTAATGTTGAAAAACTTCTTTCAGGACTAGCTGTGGTAGCTGATATACTTGCAAATATTTGTAATAATATTCGTATGATAGGAAAAAACTCATTGCTATGTTTTAACGTTTCCATGAATATCTGATTTTATATTATTTTCATTCTGCCACATAGCTTTTCAAATTGAAATTTCTGATTTTATATAAATTTCTTGATCAGGCCAATCTTCAAAGTACATCATTACTGCTTTAACTGAATCTTCATCATATTTATCAATATTTGATGGATAATAAATATCTACTTATCAACCACGGTTAAAGATATGATAATCTATTAAAAAAGTATGTATTACATTGACATTTTGATACACCAACTGAAAATTTTCAATTTTCCCAGAACTTACCCTTGAAAAGGTTAGTAATAGACCTAAAAGATAATTTAAAAAAAATTAAGTTCTTAAGGGAGTGGTCTTCAGCCCCTCTAGCCACCCCCTCGTATCCACCCATGTAAACAGCTACTTCTCACTTTATTCTAAACCCTAGAGTCTTTCAAAATTTATTATGAGATTGTCACTTATAAACTGCTCAATTAAGGATAGTTGTGCTTTGTCAATTAAAATACTTTTTTATACAAACATCCAATGGCGAAGCGTCATAGGAGACAATGAAACAATGTCTACCCACTTCTAATACGGATATATAATTTAGTTTTATTATATTTTGTTTATTTTTATATAATATATACTTCAATATTTATCATAGGTTTACTTTTGTGCCATACCGTATTAGTATTCTTAAAATAGATTAGTTGCGGACCGTGCACGCGAACTGTCATCCGTTGTGGCGTATAGATGTGGGTCAGTCGCGACTGACCGAATCAAAATGAGCGAATCATTCAAGTGACCAAGTCACTGATGTACCAAAAAGTATTCAGTCTTTCGGTCAGATCGATCTTTAAGTCAAACGACTTGTTTGACGGTTTTTAATGAAACTTTTCTTTCAGACGGAATTATTTTATAACAATATACCGTTTACTTAAAGATACTTGAAGACTAAATATACCTAATAAATATATTTTACAAAATATCAAGGGGGGCAGTTGCCCCCTCCAGTTTACGCCTATGATGTATATAATATCAATTATTTAACACAATTTGTTTGTACAGTCATATACTTTTTACTTATACTTACTTTTATGATTTACTAGGTAAGAAATACTTAAAAATAAAACAACCAAATTTGAATTATAAAATTATTGAAAATATATAATATATGAACACAATATTGTAAATTCTGTATAATTTATAATTTTCTTGTACCAATTACAAAAATACAAAATGTTGAATTATTTTGTTTTATTTTTTGGTAATAGATAGTATAACACATGCATAATAAGTATAAAATATGATAATAATAATAATTATACTATATCATGGAGTCTTTAGTCTATTTTCGGGGAAAACAATAATTATCTAATAATAGACAATATCGATTATTGATAGTCACTATTGACTACTGAGTTGTACTGATTTACATGTTAATAATAATTACATCTTGTGATTAAAAGATAATATAATATAATCTGTGGTGAATTGTGATATCTACTTTCACGATACCAACTAAGGTTTTGTAAGGTATTAAAGAAAACACAAGTCTATAATAGTAATCATAGGCTGTATATTATATTAGTATAATATTAAATATATACAATCAGTGGTTAAAGTGGGGAAAATGTTGTGGGGGACTATATTCATCAAAAATTGAAGAGCGTTCCCCTTCCTAATTTTAAATCTTACCAATTTTTTTTTAGGAAACCCATGAGGTCTAAGCCTCTTTTGTTACACATATATATTCATAAAAATTTTATTTTCATAGTTTTCATAGGGTGTAAAAACAAATTTCCCCCAAAGAAAAATAATTCTATACATATGCCTGATTAAAAAAAAATAAATTGTAATACATAGTAGGTAATGTTTAAAAAACTTAACTTAAATTTAACAAAACTTAAAAGAAACAATTACTTACCTTGCCTATTTGTTGGTCGACGTAAATAGTAACAAATACGTACATTGCACAAAAGGTGTCTATTGTCTATATAAGTAGGGCCCGGAATTATATGCTCTAAAAACGTACGAAATATGCATGCATTTATACGATGGTTATCATTCAAATATGCATTCAAAATATGGAAACAAAAATGCATGTTTATTATTTATTAAATGTATTTAATTTTAAAATGTATACAATTCATTAAATAATTAATATTCAACAAAAAATATACTTTAAAATATATCAACTGTATTTTATAAATATTATTGAACTGTATAGTACTGTATGTTGTATTGAAATTAAATTGTATTTTGAACACTCAATCACTGATCCAAACAAAAAGTCACAAACGAAAATCAATTTAAATAAATCAAGCGGACTTTTATAATATTTTTAAAGTTACTTGGATAGTTACTATAGTATTAGTACTTTTAGCAAACTTTATATTATCATATTATAACACAAAAATCAAATTATATAGGTAACTGCACGATTCACAGGATTTAAGATGGACATATGCTAAGTAATAAATAATAATATTAATAACTTCGTAATATTTTTTTCTATATATGCATTATATTTCAGACAAGTGCTAAAATATGCATAATAATTTGAAATGTTTGAAATCTGGCCCAACAATAAATTATAAAATTTAAAATAAATATGGTAATAACAAAAAATAATTCACAGCAACACGTAAATTGTATAAATAATAATAATATATACTCTGGCTATTTGAGCCTAACTAAAATGCCGATTCGGCGCAACCAATATAATAAATAATAATAATAATGGCCCTTATGGCACAATAATAAAATAAATATATAAAAACTTACAGTTTGTGGAGCGCAGACTGGCCAGCTGCAACTACCTAAAAACTATACTTTAAAATACAATAATAATAAAAATAGTGGCGATTAGCGCACACACAATAATAATATAATAAAATTCACAACATTTAGTGGCGATTCGCGCACACGTAAGTGTGTATAAAATAAATTAAAAAATGAAATTAAAGACAATTTGCGCCCACAAAATATAAAACTTATTTTTTTTAAACGCTACAGTCTATTACGACGACGTACAGAGAAAGACAGACACGACAGGGATAATATACAATAACACACGACACATTTAAATAATATTATAATAATTCACAATAACGATAACACTGATTAACGTAAACTTATATCTAATGGTGTTATGTAATGTGTGTGCGTGTGTGTAAGGCCGACTTGCTAATTAGGGTGAACGACCCATGAGTCCGACCCGTTATCGGCACCAACAACGATTTAAAACAGAATTTTGGATCGCACCGTTCCATCTTCTGTATTTGAAACATTACGTATACTCGTAAATATAATAGAATTGATAGAATCGATTTCTAGTTTTCAACAATTGATAATTAAAAGAGATGGAATGCCAGTATAATAATTTATCGTTGGTTTCTGAAATTAAAAAAAAAAAAAAATTGAGAGGACAGATTATATAATATTATAACATACTACATTGATATTAATTGATATACTTATCAGTTATCATACAAATAGTAAGCAAGTAAAAATGTATAGTAAATAAATAAGTTGAATGTAAGTAAATTTTTAATTGGTCAGTAAATTGTGATTAATTTTTGTCCACCCGAAGATAAGAGCCAAGTGCCGCCTATAACTCCAACAAATGTAAATACCATATAATGTAAATACAGTCGAGTCGCGATAACTCGAAGTTGAAGGGGGATAATAATTCATTTCGAGATATGTATTATTCGAGATATATGACTAATTTACAGGGGAAGAATTTTCTAGGGGAATAAAACACAATTTGAGTTATCGAGGTTCGAGTTATCGCGACTCGACTGTATTATTGTTATTGGATTTCCGTTTATCATAAAAAAAAAAAAAAAATAAATATGTTGTACGGAATATTATTACTTCTTCTGTTTAATGTCTATACGGAAGTTACAACGGTTACCTAACTATGATTATATTTGAAAAATACTTTATTATTATATTAAATTTAATTACTGTTATAATATTATATATTATATTTATTAGAGGCATTATTGCAACTGATAATTTTAGTAAATTATTTGGCTCTGAATAACGTCAGTTCAAAAACAAATTTTAAAAATTTAGAAAAAAAATAGATTAGGTACCTATGATTTTTATTCAAATAAAGACTTTACATTTTTTTAATACAATGTTGTAATTCAATTTAATTTAATTCTCAATTTATAATTTAATAGATAGTTGAAAATAAATTATTATCTTTATTTTTTTCTATTCTATTGCAGTTGTGATTTAATAGAGAAAATATGTAAAACACATTAATTGTAATAAAATATGTTCATAATTGAGTTTTCAAATTATTTTTCGTAATTTTGGTTATAGTGACAATCGGATATTATTTTAACGGTTTTTATAGAAACCGTTTACTATGGCATTTAAAGGAACTAGTAAAAAATAATTATAATTACATAATATCCGATTGTCATTATAATATTTAGTAACCGATTATCTTGGAGTATACTGTTTTATATTTATATTGAATTAATTTTTTTAATTAGGTATCAAGTCCATGTCTAAAATAAATTTAAAATTCATTTATTTCCCTGTGTAAATTAAAGATTCAGTATAACAGTAATATTTATCAAAATATAACTATCAAATGTTAATAAAATGAAAACAGAAAAACTTAGATGCAATATTATCATAATTGTTCGTGTAAGGAAACAAAAATATTGTATTTTACCTATTTTCTTACGTAGGCGTGGATACAAGGGGGCATATGGGGGGCTGAATCTCCCCTTAGACATTAGGTAGAATTATATCGGACACAGTTACTAAAAATATTTAAAAAATTTGACAAATAATATAATAATACACTGTATACGAGTATAGTAAATTTAAACAAAAAAAAAAAAAAAAAAACGATTTGTCACTGATTTTTTCGTCAAAAAATAAAAAGTATAATTATTATACGTGATATTGAATGCATTCTTAAATAAAAATAAAAAGAGTTCGTATTTAAATAATTTTAAATATTCTATAACATTAAGATTTAATTTTTTATAATGATATAATTATTGAATTTTCATTTAAATTTAAATTATCTGCGAAATTCGCTAATTCATGGATGTACACTGTATATATATATTATGTTATAACAGGCGTGGATCTGGAAATGAAAAGATGGTGGGGATAATTAAATGGGTTACTGCCATAATTCGTTGCGCATGTTAATTTCTATGAAGTGTTTTATACATCTAATTTTTTAAATATTCTTAATACCTGTGTCCGATAAGGTTCTACCTTATATCTAAGGGGGAATTCAGCCCCATATCTACCCCCCCGTTAATCCTCGCTCGCGTTAGAAAATAGGTAAAATATTATATTTTTGTTTCCTTACACAAACAATTATGATAAAATTGCCTTTACATTTTTTTTTTTTAATTTTATTGACATTTGATAGTTATATTTTTATAAATATTAATGTTATACTGAATATTTATATTTTTAATTTACACTGCAAAATAAATGTATATTAAATTTATTTTAGTCATGGACTTGGTACCTAATTGAAACAATAAATTCAATAGAAATATAAAACAGTATACTCTAAGAAAATCGGTTACTAAGTATTATATTTTTATTTATTTAATTTAATTAGTTTGTCATCATGTATACTTGATATATTTATTTTTGTTACTGTGAATAACAAATATTTATCATGGTGAGAATAAAATTAAAAATAATTTTGTTTCAAGATACTAAAAATTTATAATTTTTTTTAGGGTACTGAACAAAGTAACAATGTTGAGTGTCCAACGTGTAAAGGCCTTGGAAGAATCCCTTCATATGGTGATATACGTTTTTAATTTATATAATATTATTAATTAATTTTGACGGTGCATTTATGTAAAGTTTTGATTTTTTGATTTTAATTAGTTTTATTTTCGTGATTAATAAAATTTATTACCTTCGTTACAAATATTTCTAAATCTTTCAAATTGATTAGCTAGATAACTATAATTTAATATTATATTGTTAATGTACAAGGTATTTAGATACTACTAAGTCTTATAGGTATTATCCGATTAAATAACATTTTGAGATATTTTATTTAGATTCAACAATAAATGAAAGTGAACTATTTGAAGATATTTCATTTTTAGTAAGTAGAATTTATAATTTAAACTATAAGTAAATTACTAAACGAGCTTTGAGAAAGAACTAGAGTGCGAGCTTGCAATTTTTTTATAAGTTCAATACATGGGCCGAGATGATTGCGAATATGGTTGAATTAAATACTAAAAAATTAAATCGTACACAACGCCATTACTTAATATAGGTAGTTAATGCAGTATTTTATCAAAAATTATAAGAATACACAACAATTAATAATGATTTCTTGTAGTTTGCTACATTTTTGACTCTTGAGAACCAAATAAGAAATGTCTCCTATATCCTTCAATACTTGGCTGGTTTATTTTATTCAAGGTTTCCCTTTTGATCAAATTGCTTCTATCATTCCTTCGACTGTTGTAATTCGTCATAAAACGTCAACTTATGGTCTATAATTTTCTGTTTAATTTTTTTAATTTGATCATTTTTTTTTTTAAGTATTTATCAACTAACAATGTTAATTTTTTTCTTCATGTATCATCTTTAAAACAACCTCACTTGTTTTTCTTTCAATCCAACTTATTCGTTATATTTTTGTCTAGTGACGTGTTAAAATAATTTTTGGTGAAGAGCAAAAATATATATATACCATAAGGTACCCTTTATTCATCCTAACGGCATTTCCACCACAGCTAAACATATCCTAAAATTTAAAAAATATACGTATATTAGACTGATTTGTATAATCAGATGTACTTACTTAATTATCTAGTAAATTTATTACACACATTAATTATCTTGTATCTTGATCTATGCAGTGTATGTGAATTTTGAATAATGTTGTTAACATTGCTATTACAATAAGTTAGCACCAATTGTTTCTGGTGTAACGGATCATATACAGTACATTTGTGCGCCAAATATTTACTATCGATTAAAACATTTAATATGATGTTATGATATATCTATATTATTGTTATACTTATTGTTAAGTATTTTTTTGGCAGGGGGACCACCCACCTACCAAACATTTTAAAGGAGCAATTGCTCCAAAATAATATCACCATGCTACTGTTTTTGTCCAATACTACATTTTTAAAACTTCTATAATATTCCCCTTTATTTTTTATTCACAATCAATTTTATTTTTCGCATAATGTCAAACTATTTCATGACGTAGTACTATAGGTGTATATAAATCAATATGAAAAAAAAACTTACTTGTATTCATGAATGTTGTATAGGAGCCTAAAGCGTTAATACAACACGAAAACCGATCAAATTCAAGCGTAACATCGATTGGAAGCAATTTGTAAAATAAATATATTCGATGGTTATAAACCTAGATGTTGAAATAACCGTAAGTTAATTTTCAGGAAATTATTAACAAAAATGGATATTGAATCTGTAACGGATCTATTGCCAGAAAAAGCACCACTCGATAATCCAAAAGAAGTGATCAAATCAATACTAATTCGTATAAAAAACACGAACCCGTAAATATTGAAAGAAACATAAACGTTGTCTTATTTTTGAAAACCTAAACAATAATTTAAGTATACATTGATTTTCACCTGTAGAGAAGAACACAAGAAAGCGATTATTGACGCAGTTCAAGTTTCGAGATACTACCAGAGCATGTTGAAACCTTATATGAACTTGATAAATCAAAAAATAGTCCATTTTCTCAACAGCCAACGGACACTAAATGTTCGCTTGGCGTGTCAATCGGCCGGCGAGCTGTTTAGGACTATGCGATGCACAGACCGACCCGTAAAATATCATTATTTATTATTATTACGTTCATAGTGGCATGGCGATTTTAAAATTACAGAGGTAATTGACGTTTAAACCATCCACTTATCGACCAAAATTCCTCACCATATCTATGGTTAGGATAGTTATTTTCAGTGGCAGCTCCGTAGGCTTTGAAGTGGAAGGGCAATTACATTTTTTTTAATTTTGGAAAATTTAAAAAAAATTAATTTGAAAATTATGTACCAATTTAAAATTGTATTATTATTAAAGTAAAATTAATACTATATAAAAAAAACAAAATTCTAAACACATTTTAACATTTTAATTTTTTATTACAAAAAAAAAAAAAAAAATGTAAGAAAATCATAAAATTATATACAATAGGTAGTTTTCAAAAATTTTTTTATTTAAAATCTAAACGCCGATCTTTAATTTCACAAAATATATCTATAACTTTCTTGTTAAAATCTGTGTTATTGAAAAAATCATTTCATTTTTAATACTTAACATTGCTAAAGAGGTTAACTTTTCCTCTCTCATTGTGTTTCGTAAACATGTTTTTATTCTTTTGAGTGTTGAAAAACATCTTGTAGCTTCAAATGAAGTCATAGGAATTGTTATTAATATTTTTAACAATATAAAAACTTCTTTAAAAGTTTCATTCGTATCATTTTCTATTATATATTTTAGTGTTGGAATTATATCATTCAAAGTTTGAAAGTCATTTCGAAAATACAAAACTTTAAGTTCAGTTTTTAACTTTTTTGTATCGAAGAACGGGCAACAATTAATTCTAAATTCAAAATATTGAAGTGGAAATTTTTTAGAATATTCTCCATGTTTTTCAGCTTTAAATAAGTTAGTAGCGGTTAAATGTTCGGTAAATTTTGAAAGATCTTTAGGTTTGATAATAAGTATATCACAAACTTCAAGCATTGAACTTTTTCGAAAAATATTAATATCCTCATCTGTTTGCAAACATTGTTTTCTATTATTTATATTGGGCATACTCGAAGCTTGAAAAATAATATCTGATACATTATTTCTTTTATAAATTTGTCAACTGAACTATTTATTTGTACTGGGTCAGTATTTATAGCTTGAATATTATTATATAAAAAGACCACATGTGGCATAACTGTTTGAAGAATAGTTAATCAGAAAAAAATACTGAGTCACTTAACAAACGTTTTATTGATTCTGTTTGATAAATTGTCAATGTTTGTTGGGATGATTCTATTAATTTGTCCATGCACTCTATTATTTAATTTCTATACTCATAAACAGTATTAACTGTACGTCTACTGAAATTCTATTTAGTTAGTACTGTCCGTGGTAACCGAACGTTAACTAATTTGTCCAATGCAGCTACTCTTTGAAGTGAATTCGAAAAAACCGGTATTTTTGGTAAATTTGAAAAAAATATCCCAATTTCTTTGTTTTGAGAAACTGATTGAGAAATAATTAAGTTTAGATTATGTACATAAAAATTAATATAATACGTATATGGATACAATTCTTTTACCCTAATGTTAACGCCAATTTTTCTTCCACTTATTACTGGTGCTCCATTGTAGGATTGCGCTATTAGTTTGTTTAGCGTATTTTTTAAATTAGGATTTATTTCCGATAGTATTGTTGATGTTAATGATTCTGCACTGTGCCCATCAGGATTTGAAAAACCCCAAAAACGTTCTACCGGTTAACCAATTATTTCTTAGCAAAATACTATAACTAACTGAAACTTATTAGAAATATCAGTAGTATCATCAATGATTATAGAAAAAAATTTCACAGTTTCTATTTCAAGTAAAATTTGTTTTCTAGCTATAAGGAGTATACAATTTAACAAATCGTTTTGTTTTGATTTAGAAGTCCTTTTAAACACTTTCGAATTTTCAAAATGACTACCCAAGCTTATATCCAAATTTTTGCATAAATAAACGACACTGGGAAAAACGCCTTTATTAGTAGAATTTATTTTTTCCTCATGACCGCTTAGTGGTAAATTATATTTCTCACAAAATTCTATACAGTTCAGAATTTTGTCTAAAATATAACGATTTTCCTTGATTTCTCGATTATGACGTTGAATTCCAACTTTGTAACCAGAGTTCATTTTATCCAAAATATTAATAGTACCAAATACTTAAAAATTAGCTTCATTTTGTAAACGTTTAATTGAATCCTCATGTTTTTAATTTTTTCCAATAAATGACCTATTTAAGTTACTTTCGTTTTAGTCTAAGAAATGTAACTATCAAAACATATATATGGAAAACAAAAAAAGGGCGAGTTTTATGTCGCAGCCACATAACCATTTGTTATACGCAAAAGAGCAACCACTGGTTATTAAAGAATAATATAGAGTATAGAACAGTGTTCTCAAATTTTATTTTCACGGCCCTCAGTTCGAGAATGACTAATCTATACCAAGGTCTAATATAATGCTATATTATAATGCGGAATAGTATATTCTGAAATCATTGAGGTTGTACGTTATACGAATTGTTTTGTATTGAAAAAAAAGTTAAACTAAGCTTAGGTAGTTGTAATTTATATATCAACGACACAACCGCCTAAAAAAAATCTCCGAGGCAATTGTCTCTCAAATAATTCTTTGCCATGCCACTGAATATGCATAATGAATTTCACTTCATAAATATAATGCATAGCTACTGCTAGTCTAGTTACTGCAGTCACTAACAAATGTTTTTTGAAACTTATCAGACTTCTCGTAAGCCTATATTTTTTTTCGCACATTAACAAACAACAAATAGATATACATTTTATTTACAGTGGAACCTCGATTAACCGTGTCTCGAGAATCGGTGATCCCGATTAACAGTGCTCACTCTTCCAAAATTATCATCATTCGAAATTTTTTGTCTGAAAAGTTTTATTAGGTCGGACGAACGTATTTTTATATTACATACATAATAATATTATAGTATATATTATCGAAAAACGTAAACGAACTTTTCAACGATAAAAATATGGCCATATATGTCACAGGTAAATAAGAGTTATTTAAGATTAATAGAGTTTAATAGAGGTTTTTCATCAATCATATTTATCTAATCACGCTATAACTAATACATATGGGAAATTTTAAATTCTGTCGAATTTGTTCCTTACTATTTAGTGTACTATTTTTACTATATTTACTATTTACTATTATATATATACTATAGCATTTGCTATAACCGTTTCGAAAATAATCATTGAGAAAATAACATTCTACACACTTAATATGCATACAAAATTATACATTTTATCACAATTCGTTTAATTAAAATTAAAAGTCTCGATTAATCATATTTTTCATTTATCCGTTTTACTCTCCCCCACTATCACCCCGGATAATCGAGGTTCTACTGTATATTAATTATATTAACGATCTTTAATATTTTATCACATTTTAGAAATTCTTATAAATTCTTATAAATCATCACTCGTCATGCAAAATATGAATCACATCATCGAAAAATATTTTCTTTACATTATTTATTATAATAATGTAAAAACTATGTATAAGCACAAAAACATACATACACACACACACGCACACACACAC